AGCGAGCCTCTGGGCTGCTTGCAGCGAAGCACTTCTCCGGGAGCAGCCCAAAGGCTCGCCTTTTGGAACAGCTGACGGGCAGGCCTTTGGGCTGCTCCCAGAGAAGCGCTTCTCTTGGAGCAGCCCAAGGGCTCCTTTTTTGGAACAGCTGACGGGCAGGCCTTTGTGATGATCGTGGGGGAGCGCTCCCCCGCAATCATCGCAAAGCGAATTTTCCCCATAGGGGCTATCGCAAAGCGATCACTCTTGCGATGGCAAAAAGTCCATCGTAAAGCGATTTCATTGCTAAATGGAGCGATCACTATGCGAGGCACCACTGTAATACTTCCCTAATGATAAAGTAGGGTTGTGATGGCACTGCGGGTTAAACTGCAGAAGCCTCTTTGCTGCAAGGTCGGAAGACCAGCAGTCGTAAGATGGAATCCACATGACAGTGTGAGCTCCCATCGTTTGTCCTGCCAACCCAGCAGCTCGAAAGCATGTAAAATGCGAGTAGATAAATAGGTGCCATCTCGGTGGGAAGGAAATGGTGTTCCGCGTCTAGTTGCGCTGGCCACATGACCACGGAAGATTGTCTTTGGACAAAAAACGCTGGCTCTACGGCTTAGAAACAGGGATGAGCACCACCCCATAGAGTTGAACATGACTGGACTAAATGTCAAGGGGAACCATTACCTTTACCTAATGATAAAGTCCTAAAGTGAATTATTTGCCCTGACATTGGTGATTGTGAATCTGAATGGGCCACACTGTTGTCTCTGAACAACACATTAATCATAAAAGGACAACACAATAGTTCCTTTCTAAGTTAAGAGTAGGTGTTTTGGTGTAATAAGATTCTGAAGGTAAGGAGTGTCTACATTTTAGAGGGATCTGAATAAATATTAGATCATTTTTAAAATGGAGAAGCAGTGACCATGGAAGATTGTCTTCGTACAAAAAATGATGGCTCTACGGCTTGGAAACAGGGATGAGCACCACCCCATAGAGTTGAACATGACTGGACTAAATGTCAAGGGGAACCATTACCTTTACCTAATGATAAAGTCCTAAAGTGAATTATTTGCCCTGACATTGGTGATTGTGTGTCATCTTTGTTTTTGGCTCAGCAACACTTAGTGGAAAGTAAACTTGGCTTCATACCTAGCAGGGATTAATCTAATTAACTCTACCTAGTGCTGCCCGCAGTCCATATTAGAGTGTTACAAAGTGCAGACTTTGAGGATTTAGAGGAGCACACCCAGTGTTTTTTTCTAAGCAATTCACCTCTTTCTGCTTAGCATCCAGACTGAATGACTTAAGAATCTTACTATGGCATTCTAGATGCCATTTACTAATACAGTAAATTATTCTGCCTCAATAGATTTTTAAGGAGGATTTTATAACATTAGCATGTATAGTCCCTAAAAGATGATTCCTGTTTTCCTTGTCCTAAGATTTTCTGCTCCATCATATGCAAATAGCTAGCTGTGATAACATAATGTCACAAAACATGATATGACATCATTGCTAGGAGTGTTATGATGGCCTTACACGGAGGTACTGTATGTCACTGCAATGTTTAGAACTGAGCTGAAAAATTGCCAAGAAGTTTAATAAGGAATTGGCTTGTTTTTGATTTTTTTTAAGTACCGTGAAATACACAGTGATTCAATTGTGGGTTTGTTTTCTGTCCTTAGCTGTACAGCAAAAGGAGATTACTCAGAGTACTTCAACGTCTACCATCACCTTGGTTACAAGCACTCAACCTGTTTCTATAGTAACCAGTTCTGGATCAGCAAGTACACTTTCATCTTCTGTTAATACAGACTTGCCAATAGCAACAGCTTCAGCAGATGTAGCTGCAGATATTGCTAAGTATACTAGTAAAGTAAGTTTTTTAAAAAAATTACAGCCTTTTCTTACAAGTTTTACTCTGAAATTCATGCATTTGGTAATATTCAGAAGAGTGGTTTATTCACTCTTCTGTGTGACTGTTCCCATGCCATCACATGGATATTTTGAACGCACGAAAGAATGTTTACAGCAATATTTTAAACTGGCTGCTAATGTGTAGCTGGAAACAACATAATTTTTCTGCCTTTGTTTTCCAAAAGCAAGCTTAGGATTTTGGAGACAGGTAGAGAAAAATTAAAACAACCTGCCCAGATATGTACATGTGTAACATTCCTGGTGTCTTTGGATGCATGTGCACATAGCTCAGTTTTACTAGCTCTTCTTACTAGGATTATTGCCTTTATCTATACTCTTTGAATAGCAGTATAGGGATTATTGTTTGTTTAGTGTCATCAGTGACTACAGTGCCATAAAATAACATAAGCATACTGTATAAACAATTGCTCCCAGTATTCCAGTTGTAGGTAAAAATGGCCTGTTAAACCCCCAAGCAGAATTATACTTTCATTTGACACAGACATACTTTTTTTTAATTGGATGGATTAAGGAAGTTAGAGGCGGGTACATCCTCATAAGGCCTTAGGAGAAGCAATAGAGACCCCAAACCTTTGGAAATTATCTAGGCCAGTTCCCAATCCAGGCGTTTTTGGATTGCAATTCCTAGAAGCCTTCTCCACCAGCTGTGTTGGCTGGGATCTCTGGGAGTGGCAGTTCAAGAACACCGAAGTTACCCAAGATTGGGAGCCACTGATCTAAGCAATTATCCACCTGCATCAATAAAAGCAATGATCTCAGGTGGAGGTCCTAATTGCAGCAACTCTTGCAGCAACGCGGTAGTGCTCCTCTTTTGGGCCATCTCTACAGAGATAGTTGGGAAGGAGGCCCATGAAATGCTCCATTTCCATGTCCATTTTGTGCAGGAGCTGCCTGAGCTGGATGAATTTGTAGTAGCAGAGGGACTTTTTTCTTTTGCTTGTGCAAACACATTAGAATTTGGCAAATATTCTCATATTTTGATTTGTCTGGCAGGGTGGGATGTTTGCTAAATATGTGTCTCTGACAGATAGATGAAGTCTGATTGATGGAGGTGTTAGAGAGAGATACATGTCCCACAGTTAGTGTGTGTAAGGTATGGATATCCATAGTGCAGATAGTGTCCAATACCTGGGACTAGCACACATTTAGTAGCCATAAGTAAATACCTGTGGAAAATGTGGATTGGCTAGCACTTTTTAGTAAAGCTAGAAAGCTTGAGTGCCTGAGTGCAATCTGCTGTCCCTGAAACCAGTGTCTTCTAAATGCCTTGTGTACATGAACAAGAGGTAGGATAGATGTATTCATCTTACTGCCATTTGTAAAATAATGTAAACTTCTCCTGTAATTAGGTTGCATTTGACACGGTACTTGAATATATTCTTTGCTATTCTGTGGTACAGCAATTGGATTTCATGCCCATGGTTCTATCTCTTATCTGTGGTTAGCACTGGGGAGACCCTATCTAAATGTCAGGAAACTATTGCTGGTCAGAGCAAATACTGTAGTACGGAGGTAGGTAAAGCAATGCTCTGAGCTGGAATAAGACAGCTTTCTACATTTTTCCTACCACTGCAATGCTGATCAAGGTCCTTCCTCCTGACCTACTGAAATGGTGTTCCCTAGCTTTAAGAAATGGAAGACTAAATAACAGATTTCCAATATTATACTTTTGCATGTCAGTTCCTTTTGTACTTTCTAGTACATGATGTCCAGAAAAGACACATATGATTAGATTTAAACTTTCTTCATTATATGCTGAAATTTACCAAGCATATATATAATATCTGTGGACACCACCACCACTACTTTTCAGGTTTTTCATTTATTGATGTTTTGACAAAATAATTATGTAAGTAGCTGCTCCAAGGCAAAATGACTTTGACATAGTGGAAGATTTGCTTCCCATCTCACCAGGAGAACTTCTTCAAATTGTAGATTTGGATTTCAGATTCCTTCTACCTCTGACTGTCACGGCTTGGGGAAGTCAGCATCTAATAGTCAAATCTTATCAGGTGTCTGGATAAAACAGGTGGACTCATGAACCACCACTAATTCCTTTGGGCAGGACATGGATGAGAATAAGACTTGATTAATGAATTAGAACTGGTTAATGAGTTAGAATTATTTATCTCCCAAGGCCTTTTTTTTCTTAACATGCCCAATAGAATTCAGTGACTCTTTTGAGCCACTCTTCCAAAAAAACAAACAAAAACCTTTATTCAGAAGCTGCAGCTTTCCCCAGTTTTTTTTTTCTTGTGAGACATTCTTGCAAGCCCTTTACACGTCTCTATGGTTGCTTCCTGTGAGACACTCTTGCCAGTGTCAGGAATTTCTCTATGGCCGGGCTGTTTGGCTGCTACTGCCACAGCACAAGAGGCTTACAAAATTAATAACAGTAGAAACACAGAGTAAATACTGAACACCTGAGTGAACATAGAACGGTGAGGTGAAGGTACATGTGCTGGGAAAAAGGGGAATGAAGAAAATGAAAATAAGTAGTGATAATAAAATGGATGACTGGGAAGATGGGAAAGTGAGAAATTAAATAATAGGACTGATAAAAATTGGAGGATTAGGGAGTGAGACTATGGGGCTTTGGATAATTATACAGTACAGTAGAATACAAAAAGAATAATTTATTTATTATTTATTTATTTATTTATTTATTCTATTTATACTCCACCTATCTGGTCATTTTGACCACTCTAGGCGGCTTCCTGTGAGGGAATAAAATAGGAAGATTAAAATTGGTTTAGCCATCACTGGCGGATATGTGGGCCAATGCGAAAAGTAACCCTTTAACTCTGAGGGGTTGCCTACGTCTTCTGTAGCAGGTACTTCATTGAACATCACCCTTAAGTGCATAGCTAGCCAGTTTAAAATACTGCTGTGAAAGTTTCCTCGTGTGTTACAGCTGGCGTACCATAACACCACTGGTGGAGCGGTACAACTTGAAGAATAAATACAAGTAAGTAATCCTGTTTTTCTTCAAGTATTAAAATCATGACATCAAAGGAACCCCGGTCTTATTATGTCTCTAGGTTTTTTTTAAGACTTATAAAAAAATGTAAACTTGATTTTAGATTTTTATTGTTAAACAATGATGAAGAAAGCCATTAGGATGTTTCTCTAAAATGTATGCAGTGAATCTGTTGAACATTTCTTCCCCATATTGTTTTCATTTCAAAAGGCAGTTCCTGTTCCATGTGGTGTAACTGTGGTGTGGATTTCACAATATAGTTGTTTTAATCAAGCTAAATATTTAGGCAGAGTTTTATAAATATAATATTAATCAGATAGCTATCTTTAACTATCTCTGTATATAGATATATATAAAATCATGATGTGAAAGATAATCAGGCAGCACGTATCCTAAACAACCAGCACTTATTATTATATTATTTTTTTATTTTTTTATTTATTTATTTATTTAATTTATACCCCACCTATCTGGTCAGTGAAGACCACTTAATGTTCTGCTGTTTAGCATGAGGTGGTTGAGATGGTGAAAGTTGTGGATGTATCTCTAGTTGTTCATCTAAAATGCTTGTTAATTAGATACCATACAAAAGGTCAGAAATAATTAATCTGAAGATATAACAGCAAACATGTACTTTTTCATCTCCTTGCAATCCTGTAGAAGTCACAGTTACTGCCTCATGAGCTCAGCCATTGGTGTAATAGATTGTGGGCAGATTCCCATGGTGCTCTATTTCAAATTTCTAAACATACTTTTCTTCAGAATACTGTATATTGGTTGTATTATGAGGGCCATTTTGAGGCCTAGCTAATATAGTGAAACTATGGATTGTGCTCTGACAAGCAGACTACTGATTTGAGTGCTTAGATGTATTGCAGGTATGTAACAAGTATGGGGCTAGATAGCTCAGTGGTTTAGGTATCTGGCTGCGGAGCCACTGGTTGGGAGTTTGATTCTCCACTGTGCCTCCTGTGAGTAGAGCCAACCTGTGTGGCTTTGGCCAAGTTGCACAGTCCCAGGATGCCCCCAGAAGAAAGGAATGGTAAACCGCTTCTGAGTATTCTCTATCCAGAAAAACCTGCAACAGCTTGCCATTAATCAGAATGGACTTGACAGCACACAATCGTTATTATTAATAATGGTTATGAATTGTTAGTTTCACCTAAAGCAGGCAACAAGACTGCAACATCAGAGTTGACTTAACAAGTCCATTCTGTAATACTGCTCTAGTTGGGATGACCATTTGAATTTATACCACTTGGAGAAAACCTGAAGATTCTAAGTTGAGGAATGAACTGATGACTCGTGAACTCACCACATCCAAATGTGCAAGTGACTGGTCACTAAGCCAGTAAAGAAATACCAATAGTTTCACAGTGACACATGGTGTCACAAACTGTTGCCTAAGATGTGCATACACTAACTATAGATATCTGCACTTATCATATGTACAATCATGTATAGTCATAGTGGCCTTGAAGACATATCGGTGCCTGGGATTTTATCTATAGCGACCCATACTGAAGATAGTGGGATAGCTCAGTAATTTAAGTGTGTGACTGCAGAGTCATTTCCCCATTGTGCCTCCCAGGAGAAGAGCCAGCCTGTGTAGCCTTGGCCAAGCTGCACAGTCCCACAATATCCCCAGAAAAAGAAAACAGTAAACCACTTCTGAGCAGTTTACCTAGAAAGTCCTGAGAAGGATGGCTGTAAGTCAGAATTGACTTGATGGCACATAATTATTAACCCATAGAGAAAGCCTCCATTTAACTGAACAAATGGAACTCCAAATTTAGTTGTCAATTTCCATCAGCAATATGTGGAAGTGAGGACTTTCAGAAAGCAGTGTGACAGGTCCAGAGGTATTGGTTGGGTTCGCTGTATAAATGTATCCTGTTTGAGAAACTATTCATATTAAAATTACAAATTCAGTCAGAGGAAAATATGGAAGTTTTTAAAGTTTTTAAAACCATGCCTGTTATAAATAACTTTAGGAATCATCCTTAGAATAAAGCAAGTAAAAAAGCAAGACCACTATTAATTTTATAATAAACTCTCTTTAACAGATGATGGATGCCATAAAAGGAACAATGACTGAAATATACAATGACCTTTCAAAAAATACTACTGGAAGCACAATTGCTGAGGTTAGTATCTCTTGCCACCAGCAGCTTACAATTCCTTTTTAAAAATATGAAGTACAACATGTAAAATATATATACAGAAATCTGTTTTTTTCAGTATGCTGCAAAGTTCAATTTCAGTTCTGGCAATTTTTTGCCACACACTGCACACTTCCTGTTTAAATTATGGGTCTGATATTATGAGAGAGAGAAAGAGAAAGTACAGTGCAGAACATAATTAGGATACTACAATGTCAGAGATGACAGTGTAGTAACAGTACTTCCTGAAATGCATGAGAAAACTAATTTTCTCTGAGTTTCTATCAACATTTCTAAATCCAGACTTGATCTCTTCTACAGATTCATAAAAAAGAATTTTTTAGGCTCAGTTAATATTTGATGAACTCTGACTAAACCAGTGTCATCAACTGAGTTTGCATAGTGAATGTGTAGTTTAAATTTGTCCTTGGGTTGAAAGAGCTGGTATGTACAGTGGGCATGAAAAACAGGAGGACAGTTTGGGGAAGACAGGAAGCCTTGTTCTTCATCTTGTGTTCCTGTGACTCATGCACATTTGCCCTTCTCTTATTTTCATCCCACTTAGTAAGGATGGAGAGAGAGTAAAGTGTATGATGCTCATGTTACTCATACAGTAGTTACGTATGTGGGCATCCTATGATTAACTCAAATATGTTTGTTGTTAGGGTTAGATCTTTTTTTTAAAGCAACTCCCCACTCACAAACTTTATATTTAACATTTACTGGCTGTTCTATAAAAGTCAGAGACAGCAAAATGAAAGTTGAATCAATTAAGATTACAGTATCTAGTCAGTTGATTAGACTGATCTGTTAAAACTTGTCCCTGATAATTTTCAGTGCAGGTTATGCAACTTGTAATTGTTCTTGTTGGTACATAAGTAGAAAGCACCTTGGTAGGACTGGCATTCTGTCCTTTTCCAAACACAAAATTGAACACTCCTTTTGAGGTGATAGCTGCTGTGACACAAAGGTTTGTTGATTACATACACAAAAAACTGTCTTTTTCCCTATAGAATTACTTTGTTCTTGTGCAGTTTCAATTAATTGGGTAAAACTCATATAACTACTAGATTAGAATTTTCTTAATCAACTAACTGTTCTAATGGTTTATTTGATATTCCAGATTCGACGTTTGAGAATTGAAATAGAGAAGCTTCAGTGGTTACATCAACAGGAACTCTCAGAAATGAAACACAATCTAGGTAACAAAAATGCAAGTTCAGATTTACAATTTTGTTGCTACTTACTTCAAAGGCCATGTTAGTATCCCTGTAGTAAAAATTGCATTAATGCAGAAATGTAGAAAATATGTTGGAATTGCTGTGCTATTGCATGCTTGTTTAGTTAGATAAACCTTGACATAAGAACTCGCCAGTTTCTCAAATTACAGTTAAAAAGAGTTCACTTTGAAAAATGACACAGTAATTCCTCTTTCTAAATCTTTGAAATGGACTTTGCCATAAATTTGTTCATTCTGATGATTATAATGTGTATTTTGTTCATTTAAGAGAATAAATCATTATTAAATAGGTAGTCAGATTTGTATCTTGCTATATTTAGTGTTAGATCACATTTTCAACTAGAAGAACACTAGAGCTAGCTAATTTCTCACTGGTATTATTAACCTTACAATTTGTACCTACTCTTGACTACACTGTGTCCATTTATTATCTAGAACTCACAATGGCTGAAATGAGACAGAGTTTAGAGCAGGAAAGAGATCGTTTAATTGCAGAGGTGAAGAAGCAGCTGGAGCTGGAAAAGCAGCAAGCTGTAGACGAAACCAAGAAGAAGCAGTGGTGTGCCAATTGCAAAAAAGAGGCCATCTTCTATTGTTGTTGGAACACCAGCTACTGTGACTACCCCTGCCAGCAGGCTCATTGGCCAGAACATATGAAGTCCTGCACACAGTCAGGTAATCAGCTGCCGTTGTTACAATTAAACTAATTATCTTGTAAACAGTTCATGAGTAAAGATAACCTAACTGGCACTTACAATAATGTATCATCACAGTCATTATCAACATCAGCATAATTAGTTAATTAGCAACATTTTGTTTGTTTATTTATCCATCCATCCATCCATTTATTCGTCCATCCTCCATCCCACTTAGTGGCACTACTCTGGGCAGGAGACAAATCATAATAACAAAATACAAACACCCACATAATTGATGAATGTGAAACATAGTACCAAAGATAAAATACCTAGTAAAATTTTAGACAAAATTACGATTTTAAATACAATAAAGATGGCAAAAAGAGAGTACGTACATAAAGAGAAAATGAAAAAGCCGCCCCATAGATCAGCAGAATTACTCCAGGTTAAAGACATAGAAGGCTTGTGAGGAAAGCCTGGTTTTAACTTGTCTCTTGAAACCAAGGAGGGGTGGGGTTAATCTTACCTCAGGTGGAGCGAGTTCCAAAGTGATGGAGCAACCACCGAGAAGGCCCAGTTTCAAGTGGCAGATTTTCAGGCCTCCCTCAGTGTCACCACCTTGTGTATGAGGTACAGGTGAGATGAGTAGACATTTTGAGGGAGAGGTGCTCAGATAGGTAGCAAGGCCCTAAACTACTAAGATCTTTAAATGTTACCTTAAGCACTTTGAATGGTTCAGAGCATATAGGCAGCTGGTGCAGACGCTCCAGGACAACTGACATACAGGCACTTCTCAATTAACAACCTGCCTGTTTTACGACCACTTGGATTTACGAACCATTTCTCCAGCTTCTCCACCACAGGGAACCCACTTTCCCAGTCTTTGTTTCATTCTGCTGCCAAGCCAGGCAGGACCATGCCCGAGTTCAAAGCAGCCAGGAGCAGTGCGGAAGCTTGTATTTAATTTTTTCACCAAGCTGGCAGCTGTGCTGCTACTGCAGCTCTTCTGGCTAGCTCTTGCCTGCTTCTGCCTTTAAGCTCCTCACTTAACAACCACCCACAGGGAACCCACTTTCCCAGTCTTTGTTTCATTCTGCTGCCAAGCCAGGCAGGACCATGCCCGAGTTCAAAGCAGCCAGGAGCAGTGCGGAAGCTTGTATTTAATTTTTTCACCAAGCTGGCAGCTGTGCTGCTACTGCAGCTCTTCTGGCTAGCTCTTGCCTGCTTCTGCCTTTAAGCTCCTCACTAAACAACCAGTTTGCTTCATGATTGAGTCCTAAGAACACAATGGAACTCAGTCATTAAGTGAGGAGTGCATGTATGACCAAATTGCAATGTTCCAGAAACCAGCCTGGCATTCTGCACTTGCTGCAGAATCTGAACCGCTTCTAAAGGCAGCTCAAAATAGAGTGTTGTAATTGTCTATTCGAGGACAAGATGGTTGGACAGTGTCACTGAAGCTACCAACACGAATTTGACCCAACTCCGGGAGGCAGTGGAAGACAGGAGGGCCTGGTGTGCTCTGGTCCATGGGTCACAAAGAGTTGGACACGACTTAACGACTAAACAACAAAATTGTCTATTCTCAAGATTACGAGCGCATGGCCTAGTGCTGTTAGGGACTTCCTGTCAAGATTAGGGGAATGGTGTGCAACCTGCCGCAGATTGTAAAAGGCAAACCTAGCTATGGCTGAGATCTGATTTTCCATTAAGAGAGTTGGGTCCAGAAGCACACCTAGATTTCACACCTGATCCTTCAAGGAGAGAGTGACCTCATCAAGAGCAGGTAAACAGCCATCTGATTGGTCAAGGAGCACTCCAGGGTCTCCATAGCTTCCACTGCAGAGGAGGAAAAGGAGAGATAGAGCTGCATGTTATCAGTATACTGGTGACAGTGAACTCAAAAGCTTTGGATGATCTCTGTCAGCAGTCTCATATAAATGTTGAACAGCATGGAGGAAATGATTGACCCTTGCTTGACACCGCATTGCAGTACCCATGGGAATGAAACAACCTGCCCCAGCTGGACGCTTTGGGAACTTACTTCAGCAATGAGTAGATGCAGCATAAAGCTGACTCTCCAGTCCCCAACCCTGACAACCAGCCCAGGAGGATACAATATATATCTTCTCCATTTTGGTCTCAGAACAACATTGTAATTGGACATCATCATTACTATTTTTACAGCAATGTTGGGTTGCAGCTAAACCAATCTCCCAAGGTTTTTTCAGTCAGTTAAGTCTTCTCCTTCCTACATTATCTGAAAGCAAGGGCACAAGGCTTTTTTCTCTTTCCCTCCTACATGTCCTTCTTCATTTGTTTTACCTTGAATAATCAGCCATAACAATCTGTGCTTCCCCCGCCTCATTGACCAGACTATATTTCTGGATTTTACATATTTTATTATTTCTTGGTCTTTATTCAGCCTTGAATGGTCCAAGAAATTCTTAGCATCCTAATTATTTAAGTATTTTCAATACTGAAAATGTTCTTGGAGTAGAAATTCAAAAACAGAGGGGAGATTATATATCTTTACCTTGCTTATTTTACATATCTTATACCCTCTGCTGCTCTTCAACGTTTACTGCAGCTTTTTGTTGACAGTAGAGGTTGCCAATTATTTGAATATATTACCCTCAAGGAGGTAAGAGGGATGGCTTCTAGACAAAGGGCCTTTTCGGCAGCTGGCCCCAGACTATGGAATGTCATCCCAACTGAAATTTGTCTGGCGCCGACGCTGATGACATTTCGGCACCAAGTCAAAACCTTCCTTGTTCTGACATCATTTGAGTTTCTGGTCTTTGATTTAATTTTTATTGGTGTTGGTAAAGGGAATGATTATGTGATCTTTGGTTTTGGAGGTTTGATTTTCGTATTTACTTTTAACCACCCAGAGTTATATTTGTCACTAATTTGGGTAGTATATAAGTATTCAAAATACATAAAGTGAAAATAAATACCGTATTTTTCGCTCCATAAGACACACCTCTCCATAAGACGCACCAGATTTTTAGGAGAAGAAAACAGGAAAAAAATAATCTGTTTTCTTCTCCTAAAAATTGGTGAGTCTTATGGAGAGGTCCGTCTTATGGAACCCACCCTAGGACCCTTTGGAGGCTCCCCCCGCCCCCCCCCCGGGATCAGAGGGGGCAAAATCGCCACCTTCTGGGACTCTTCTGAAGCTTCCCAAGCCTCAAAAGAGTTCCAGAAGATGTTGATTTCGCCCC